ACATCTGACCTGACTCGGATTTAGCACCAAAAGGCTACATTCACACTGCAGGCAAATGTGGCCCAAATCTGATTTTTTTTGCTCACATGTGACTCAGATCTGTTTTTCTCATGACAGTGTGAATGTCAGGATCATGTGGATTTCACAGTGTTTGTGGAGTGGATTCTGGTGAGAAACGGATCGCCTCTCACCATCACTCCTGAGGATGATCTCGCCAGATCCACTCTGGACCCAGAGCCCAGCCCACCATCTCTCCGCTGTGCGGCGCTAAAGCCCGAGCACACCGATAACGGAGAGCCAATTCCCGCTGCGATCTACAAGCCAGCGCAATGCCGAGCAACTGAGCGCAGGATCGCCCCGGAAGTAGAGCCCAAGCTGTCAGACCAGGTGCGAGATCAATGCCCGCCACGAGGGAGAAAGCCGCGGATGGTGTGAGCGCGGAGAGGAGCTCCACCCCCAGCACCACGGCTGAGGGTGAGCTGAGTATGGCGTGCCGAAAGTGCCAAAGCGAAGAGGAGAGTGCTCCAGTCCCCGAATCCAGTCCAGAGCGCCCTCCAGTGCCCACTCCTGAGTGCCATCCTGTTCCCGTGTTCAGCCTAGAGGGGGCTTCCGATCCAGAGTTAAGCCCTGAATGCCCGGAAAGGCACAAGTGGCACAAGTCCTTCCTCCTGCCAGCTCCTCCTGCTCCGGGCCCCTCCTGACTCCTCCCTCCTTCGTCATCTCCCTGGTCTCTGTCTGCCGGCCCCCTCCCGGGTGTCCATCCTCCTCCGGAACCTCCTCCCAAGTTCCCACCCACGCCTCCATCTGTTGTTGCTACGGTGCGAGGACGCACCTTCCGGGAGGGGGCGTAATGGACTATCTGTGTTATGTTTTGCCCCTGTTTCTGTTCCCTAATTTGGTCATGTTCCTGTCCTCATTTTAGTAATTAGTTTGATTAGTCATCCCATACACCTGTGTTTCCCCAATCATCCACTGTATTTAAGTCCTAGTCTGTGCAGTCTGTCTCTGTCGGTTCTACTTGTTATGTTCATGTATTTCCTGCCGTTCCCAGTGTTGAATGTACCCTGTGTTTCTTGGATTAAAGACTGTTTCGTTTATTCCTCGTCTCCATCGTTCCTCGCCATCACATATTGTGACAGTGAACAGCACAAACCACATGGAATCTGATCTTTTCAATTTCGATTTGTGCCACTTCCGTATGTGCTACTAACTCCGATACAGGTCAGATGTTTTGCAATGCAACCGCAGTGTGAACCGTCATATTGGAATTCATACGACTTTTACGTCACTCTAGATCAACATTCGTCACGATTCTGTGCTCATGGGAGTCACTTCAAAGATTTTAAATACCCAAAGTTATCAAGACAGTTGCGAAAGGTAGTCAGTGGAAGTACAGTGACGTGTGAGAGCTTATAAGTATTGCAGTGACAACTCTATATATATAAGCAAAACATAAGGGCTCGTATCATAAAAGTTTCAAAACTAAAGTAAGTAAAGTAATAAAACTAAGCTTCATAAATAAACACATAATCGCTTACTTTATGTCCTCCGTGTTTACTACCATATGACAGCGCACTGCGTAAGTGTTGCCAAGTCCACAGTTTTCCCGCGGAATTGGGCTACTTTTTCACTGTTGCCGCGGTTGTTTTTCAACTCCGTGTGTTAAAGCGCACCCACTAACGCAATATATACTCCCCGGGAAGCGACTGGGATAGTTTTGTACTAGTTTTGAGAAGCATTTGGGCAGATTTTGTTGTGAAAACCTGGCAACCCTGTTCGGGTTGGTGTGATCTTTTGACACTGGAAATCTGATATTGGCCATATTTAAAACAAAAATGTGAACAGCTATGCAAAAAAAAATCAGATCAGGAATTGAGCACTAAGGCTCACAGTGTGATCGTAGCCAAAGTGGCCCAAACCTGAATCAAAAAGATTAGATTCCATGCGGTTTGTGCTGTTCACATAAATTAAATAAATATAAGTGACATATAAGCAAAAAAATCGGATTTGGGCCACATTTTCCTCCAGTGTGAACATAGCTTTTGAAACTGCTGCAAAACATGCAAGAAGTAACGTTGCATAATTTTTGCACAAAAAAAAAAAAAACATATTTAACCCATGAAGCACTGTGAATAGTGAAGAATTTAATTTATATTTAAATAGTAGCCTACGAAATAAAATAACTGAATTACAGTTAGTGATATGTATGAAATACAATACATTTTAGGTGTACTGCAAAATATTAAAATTTATACAAATATACAAGTAGTTTGAGAATGCAGGGAGAATAATGACGTCCAGTGACGTCACTTGCGATGCTTCATGGTAGTGGAACTGCTAAGCTGTTTTGTGTTGGCTCACCATTTGGGATTGTGGGTACACACACACACACACAAATCACACTAACCTCTACAGTGGCCACAAGTCAGTGTGATCAGTTGTGTCTTAGAAATCTGAAAAGCTCCAAACTTTTCAACTCACGTTTCTCTTGCACAAACAGGTATCCTTCTATTGTGTGTGGACTGATGCTCTTATGTTCGTGTGGGTTTTCCTTCATCTTCTTCATCAAACATTCCACCTCTGAACGTGTGCTCTCGAACCGGTTCCGCGTCTGAAATACCACAAAGACAGAGAAGGAGAAGGTGAATGTTCCAAAAGATATGAAGTTTGGAAAATGCTTGTGAAAAACTTGCCACTCACTGTATCTCACCATCACTCCTGAGGATGATCTCGCCAGATCCACTCTGGACCCAGAGCCCAGCCCACCATCTCCCCGCTGTGCGGCGCTAAAGCCCGAGCACACCGATAACGGAGAGCCAATTCCCGCTGCGATCTACGAGCCAGCGCAATGCCGAGCAACTGAGCGCAGGATCGCCCCGGAAGTAGAGCCCAAGCTGTCAGACCAGGTGCGAGATCAATGCCCGCCACGAGGGAGAAAGCCGCGGATGGTGTGAGCGCGGAGAGGAGCTCCACCCCCAGCACCACGGCTGAGGGTGAGCTGAGTATGGCGTGCCGAAAGTGCCAAAGCGAAGAGGAGAGTGCTCCAGTCCCCGAATCCAGTCCAGAGCGCCCTCCAGTGCCCACTCCTGAGTGCCATCCTGTTCCCGTGTTCAGCCTAGAGGGGGCTTCCGATCCAGAGTTAAGCCCTGAATGCCCGGAAAGGCACAAGTGGCACAAGTCCTTCCTCCTGCCAGCTCCTCCTGCTCCGGGCCCCTCCTGACTCCTCCCTCCTTCGTCATCTCCCTGGTCTCTGTCTGCCGGCCCCCTCCCGGGTGTCCATCCTCCTCCGGAACCTCCTCCCAAGTTCCCACCCACGCCTCCATCTGTTGTTGCTACGGTGCGAGGACGCACCTTCCGGGAGGGGGCGTAATGGACTATCTGTGTTATGTTTTGCCCCTGTTTCTGTTCCCTAATTTGGTCATGTTCCTGTCCTCATTTTAGTAATTAGTTTGATTAGTCATCCCATACACCTGTGTTTCCCCAATCATCCACTGTATTTAAGTCCTAGTCTGTGCAGTCTGTCTCTGTCGGTTCTACTTGTTATGTTCATGTATTTCCTGCCGTTCCCAGTGTTGAATGTACCCTGTGTTTCTTGGATTAAAGACTGTTTCGTTTATTCCTCGTCTCCATCGTTCCTCGCCATCACATATTGTGACAGTGAACAGCACAAACCACATGGAATCTGATCTTTTCAATTTCGATTTGTGCCACTTCCGTATGTGCTACTAACTCCGATACAGGTCAGATGTTTTGCAATGCAACCGCAGTGTGAACCGTCATATTGGAATTCATACGACTTTTACGTCACTCTAGATCAACATTCGTCACGATTCTGTGCTCATGGGAGTCACTTCAAAGATTTTAAATACCCAAAGTTATCAAGACAGTTGCGAAAGGTAGTCAGTGGAAGTACAGTGACGTGTGAGAGCTTATAAGTATTGCAGTGACAACTCTATATATATAAGCAAAACATAAGGGCTCGTATCATAAAAGTTTCAAAACTAAAGTAAGTAAAGTAATAAAACTAAGCTTCATAAATAAACACATAATCGCTTACTTTATGTCCTCCGTGTTTACTACCATATGACAGCGCACTGCGTAAGTGTTGCCAAGTCCACAGTTTTCCCGCGGAATTGGGCTACTTTTTCACTGTTGCCGCGGTTGTTTTTCAACTCCGTGTGTTAAAGCGCACCCACTAACGCAATATATACTCCCCGGGAAGCGACTGGGATAGTTTTGTACTAGTTTTGAGAAGCATTTGGGCAGATTTTGTTGTGAAAACCTGGCAACCCTGTTCGGGTTGGTGTGATCTTTTGACACTGGAAATCTGATATTGGCCATATTTAAAACAAAAATGTGAACAGCTATGCAAAAAAAAATCAGATCAGGAATTGAGCACTAAGGCTCACAGTGTGATCGTAGCCAAAGTGGCCCAAACCTGAATCAAAAAGATTAGATTCCATGCGGTTTGTGCTGTTCACATAAATTAAATAAATATAAGTGACATATAAGCAAAAAAATCGGATTTGGGCCACATTTTCCTCCAGTGTGAACATAGCTTTTGAAACTGCTGCAAAACATGCAAGAAGTAACGTTGCATAATTTTTGCACAAAAAAAAAAAAAACATATTTAACCCATGAAGCACTGTGAATAGTGAAGAATTTTATTTATATTTAAATAGTAGCCTACGAAATAAAATAACTGAATTACAGTTAGTGATATGTATGAAATACAATACATTTTAGGTGTACTGCAAAATATTAAAATTTATACAAATATACAAGTAGTTTGAGAATGCAGGGAGAATAATGACGTCCAGTGACGTCACTTGCGATGCTTCATGGTAGTGGAACTGCTAAGCTGTTTTGTGTTGGCTCACCATTTGGGATTGTGGGTACACACACACACACACAAATCACACTAACCTCTACAGTGGCCACAAGTCAGTGTGATCAGTTGTGTCTTAGAAATCTGAAAAGCTCCAAACTTTTCAACTCACGTTTCTCTTGCACAAACAGGTATCCTTCTATTGTGTGTGGACTGATGCTCTTATGTTCGTGTGGGTTTTCCTTCATCTTCTTCATCAAACATTCCACCTCTGAACGTGTGCTCTCGAACCGGTTCCGCGTCTGAAATACCACAAAGACAGAGAAGGAGAAGGTGAATGTTCCAAAAGATATGAAGTTTGGAAAATGCTTGTGAAAAACTTGCCACTCACTGTAAAAACTCTGCACTGTAAAATACTTACATGAAACTACCGCTCTGCTTAAATATAACAGATCATTGACCAGGCTTATTGTGAAGTGGCTAGTTTTACGGCAGTTGTTATTTGCAATGCATTTTGGCAAACTGCACTCATCAGGGGTCGGGTTCAAGTCATGATTCTATCCTGTCCAGGGAACATACACTCACCCTGAACTAAAAGACTGGACTTCTCAGAACAAAAGATGATGATTTACTTGCAATTTACTTTAAGGTGCAGTAATATTGACAGCTAGTGGTTGAAATAGGTACAGCGCAGGTTGCCAGATTGACACGCACAGGAACAAGCGCAATTGACAATGGAAGGCGACGAGCCTTATGCTGTAAGCTAAAAATGTATCAATTTTTTTTAATATGCTTCTGGTCATAGGGATTTTTAGATGGATGTCGAGGCTTTTTAGGTCGGGTAGAGTCTGTGATCCCTGACCCAGTTCGTTTGCTCGCTTCTATGGCTGCAGTACGCTGTGTTTTCCACCATCTGGCAACCCGGAGTGTCAAAATCCTATTGGGTAAACCGACAATCTGACAAGGAATGACACCTTTGAAAGCAGAATTGCAGCATTGTTAGCATGTTTCCAAAATATCTGCAAATGGATTTTGGTGTTTTATGCTTTAGTACAATCAAAAAATTACATACAGCACCTTTAATGCATCAAAGTATGAGTATGAACTAATTCTGCTCTCCTAATTTGTAATATCAATATCTATGAGGGTCTGTTGTAAGAAATGCACTCACATTTTGAATGCTGATTGTGAGGTCTGTCTTGAAATGGTTGAAGTCTTTGGCCAGTTCGTACCCATGATGATAATATGTAAACAGACCCTGTAGAAAAGCCAGCAACTACATCCAAAAGAGAGGAAAACAGCCATCAATGAAGAGATTATAATATATAATATGATATGATATGGCCTGATATCATATCATGATATGAAGTTTTACCGGCTCCACAAACTCAAACATTTTATTGAGGCAGAGTAACGGTTTAATGAATACACAGCAAACTATAGAGAGCTTTGGTGATAACTAAGTGAATATTTCATTACTGCAGTTGGTTTTGGAATGTGTCCTCCGAAGGCAGCATTTTTCAGTTTTCGGATGCAGCCGAAGTGTGGAATGTTGAACACTTCATGCACTCAACAGCTTTAATCATGTAGGGAAGGGGGAGGGGCAATCAGACTCCGTTTATGAATGACAAAATAACCTTATATAATTCATACACTACATGGTTGAGTACATAAGTGCATAGTGTATAAGTGCATAGTGCGTCATTTGGGACGCAGCTAGAGTTGCTGTAACATTCCGAGGAGCTGTAAAGTTGGCAATAAATTTGAATCATTGTTTTAAAAAAACAAAACAATGAGGCATGCACAAATCTGTGCTACATGTCAAATTGAACAGATTTTTTGCATCAGTTTGCATTCATAAGGAACATCACAATGAGTGTTTACACATCATAACCAACAGATGGCAGTGTTGTTTAAACGGTTACAGTAGCTTCTTGGAAGCACTTTGATCTGTAATGGCTTGGCCCACATGGAATCTGCCAGTTTTGACGCTGTGACTTCAATCTTAAGTGACAAAGTTGCATTCGAACAAGGTCAATGGCATTGATAACTGAAAACATCTACATTCTGCCTGGACTTAAGAAACACAATAAGACTCTCTCTGCTGTGAATACCACAACAACATAAAGCGATTTAAACGTCTGCTCTCACCTTTGCAGCTCCTATCTGCTCCTTCCTGAAACGTTCCAGTGGCAAGATCAACACATCACTGGCATTTTCAATCTGAGGAGACACAAGTCATAGGGTTCCTTTTATCATCTACAGTGGTGTGAAAAAACATTGTCCCCCTTCCTGATTTCTTATTTTTTTGCATGTTTGTCACACTTTAATGTTTCAGATCATCAAACAAATTTAAATATTAGTAAAAGATAACACAAGTGAACACAACATGCAGTTTTTATTATTAAGGGAAAACAAAATCCAAAACTACATGGCCCTGTGTGAAGAAGTGTTTGCCCCCTAAACCTAATAACTGGTTGGGCCACCCTTAGCACTAAAAATCACATTTAGCCAGCTTTCTCCCCATTCTTTGCTACATACGTTTTGAGAACTGCTTACTCTCACTTAAAACAAAACGCACTAATATTTATATCCCTTAAAGTTGGCATTAAATATATAATTATATATATATATATTGCAATATCGCCCGGCCCTAAAACCGCTTCATGTTAATGCTTTATACTGTAAACATGGCATAACATATATTTATTTATTTATTATGTATTATTTTATTTATTCTGTTCATCATATAAAGATAGTATATGGCCACAAAGATATATTTTTTTAATAAATTACAGATAGTAATATCCATATCCAACAATCAAGTAATTTAAATATTCTAAAAATGAAGATGATTTCTTTTTATTTATTTATTTATTTTTGATGGATGGATGAATGGATGCAGTCCAAACCAAAAGATAAGATTATTCATAAACAGCTGCTTCGCATTTTTGAACATATTTGAGTTACAAACAAAAGACTCAAGACAGTACTGAAATATAAATATGACTGGATTGGCCACGTTTACAGCCGTTGAACATATAGATCCCTATGTTGGTGTGACCACACACTAGCAAGTTGCAGCTTTGCTTGGCAACCATAAACCACCTACCGTTACACGGTGTCTACATCGGACATGTGTCAAAGTGAAATCACACATATAAGCTGCAAAGCTTGTTACAGTTTGCAGAGTAGCAGATGTCTCTTTTATTTTTATTAAGTTTATTTAGTCCTCTTATTTTTATTTATGTTGTCTTGTTAAACATCTTTTATGCAAACTGTCTTATTCAAGACAGTATTCATTAAAAAATAGCATGCATTTTGTATGATCCTTCTTATTTTGATAAAATAATGAACATTTTGCAGATTCTGCAAGGTGAATGTAATTTTTTGACCACAACTGTATATCATCACACTATCTAAATCAGGAAAAATTAGTCATACAGGTTTGGAAAGACATGGAAGTGAGTTTCATTTTTTAGTGAGCTTTTCCTTTAAACTATTAGTGATAAACAAAACGATAATGAAGCTGATGATGGTGATGTTGAAGAAACCAGCTCACCATTCGTGTCCTCTCATCTTCCAGGTTCTGTAAGACTCCAGCAAACTCCTGTAGTGATTTGGCTTTGAAAGAAATAAGACTGGTGGTGATCACACACAACATCTTGACCACATTAGCTTAATTTGCATCTGCAAGAGCTGAAGTCAGTCATTTGTCATTTTATAATTCACAACGGACACCCTGAGATTTCAAGTAAGAAATTGTTATTCAAAACCGATCCAAGATCAACACTTTTCACAGCACAACACTTTAAAGCAAAATTGTGCAATAAGGTTTGTGTTTAACATACAAGTCTGTGTGACAAACATGAGAAGGTGTCAACACAGAGCTAGCATGCGATTAGCACTCGTACCAAAAAAAAAAAAAACCAGTGGCCAAATACCAACTTCTGCAAAGACTATATTTAACTCCTATGACAAAAAAAAAAAAATCTAGGCGAGGAAAAAACTGTGAGGTGCAAACATGCGGTGTTGATGTGTTGGGTATTGTACAAAAAAGACCCAACATAGTTTTTCACTTTAACATACTTTTAAAAAGAGTACTTATTACAGAAATAATATACTTTAAAAGAATATATATGCAAACTGAATGCAATATTTTCAGACACGCCTGCATGTTATTTACAATTCAAATGTATTATAGTTTAAATATCTTGCGTAGCATTAGTTCTGGCAGGTCACGTTAGTCAAGCTCGCATCAGCTGACTCTCAGCTGATCCCCATCTACCTATGGGAATACGACACATATCTAAGTATTCATATATAAGGTCCCTCAGTATTATCAGCAGTTTTCGCATTGCTCAATAGCTAATTACCCTCCTCCATCCCCAACTCCTCCTCTGTCAGTCAGGATTCAGCCTTCTGATTCTCCTTTGAATCAGACTAATTCTAAAATCTGTACATAACATTATTGAACTTTAACGATATCTGCAATACATTTATGTTGGTTCTGTTCTGTTTACCCTGGGGGGGGGTTATCGCTGTTCTCCCTGCTCTCATCCATGATAGGCTGCATGGATGCGCAGGGAGTTCTTGCCCAGAACGGAACCATACCGCCAATCAAAAACTGTATGCTAATTGTCAATCATCTTTGACGATAGTGGTCCTGACAGAAATATATTTAATGGAATTAATTCAATATAAGAGAGTTTTTTGACCCATTTAAGTCGGACTTAAGAGCATCTTTATATGCAATTGTGACCTGTGCTGGCAAAATGAGTCACAATGAGCAAATTTTCAAAAATGAGTTATTTTTATTTTCACATTCCTTTAGAATGATGAATGATTTGTTGGAATCGGACGAAAAAATGACTGAGCTACACCCGTTTGAAGAAATTAGGATATTAAGTAAAGATCATGTTCCATAAAGATATTTTGTAAATTTCCTACAGTAAATATATTAAAACTTAATTTTTGATTAGTAATATGCATTGCTAAGAACTTCATTCGGACAACTTTAAATTTAAAGGCGATTTTCTCAATATTTGGATCATTTTGCACCCTCAGATTCCAGATTTTCAAATAGTTGTATCTCGACCAAATATTGTCCTATCCTAACAAACCACAAACTCACAAAACTTATTTATTCAGGTTTCAGATGATGTATAAATCTCAATTTCAAAAAATTTACCCTTATGACTGGTTTTGTGGTCCAGGGTCACAAATACTCAAAAGTAATGGTGACACTAGCCTTTCACTGCTTAGCACTAGTATTTATATCATAAATAAAGCAGCTAACTCATCAAACCTCTAAAGATACCCAACCTAAGACATACAGTGGATGCATTACTAAAAAAAAAAAAAAACATCCAGATATAATAAAGTTTTCATGTTCGACTTCATAAGGAACAAGGTCAAGAGGAAATAAAAGACTACAGGCCTGCAAGGCTGAAATTGAAGATGAGATCAGAGAAAAGGCAAGTCAATACATGTTCCTTCTTCAGATTCAGCCAAGCAGGATTTCAGCAAGTTTCCATGCAAGGTGCCAGGACTTACAGAAAGCCACAAAAATTCCCACAGGTTCCAACACTTAAGCCTTTGATGCCATACCATCAAGAGGAATTATGGCAGACACATAAAAGTTGAGCTGAAGCCTTAGTTTAATTGTGGCATAGTAGGGGCTAAATGAAATGGTCCTGTGGACGGCGTTCAGTAAAACCTGTCTTTTTGAGTTAAAAGCTTGTAATGAATATATCGTGTAAGACCTGGAGTGGGATCAGATGGTCATGGATCATTTTGTACTCAACCGATGCACTTCAAATAAACAATGATGAAACTGGTGCTTTAAGGTTGAGTTCACACGCTTTCTATGAATGTCCCTAACGTTTTGGGGTTTAAAACTGAAGTATAATCTTGATGATAGTTTTTGCTTCTTCCATAACACTAAGGAACAACAAACACTCAAAAGAAACAATGTTGTGATCTTACCAATGCATATCTCATCGTCTGTTTCTGCATCGCCAATGCACTGGAATTTAAACTCGTTCAGTGACTCTGCAAACTTTCTCTTCGCAGTGGACAAATCTGTAAAAGATGTGACGAGATGTGTTAAATTTTTACAGACGAGAATAGCACAAGGTGGCAAAACCACAAATGATCAGCCAGAAAGCGAGAGAACATGTACTGCACTTTGGGAAACTTTGTGGTGTCTGGGTCTTTCAAGACATAAGACTGACAAAGTAAGCGAGAGTTCAGTGAGTGAATGAGAAAAAGAGACTGCAAGAGGGAAAAAGTCCAAAAAGGAAAGCTAAGGAGAGACAGAATGAGCCCAGAAGTCCCTAAAAATAAACACTGTTTGTCATGGAATGAGAATTTGGCTGGTCAGATCAGATTCTAAATTAAAGGCAGACCCCTTGGTTTTAGATTGTCATAACTTTGGAAAAAATCTTCTGAAGAATAATAAACAAATAAAAAACTTGCACAAAATTGAGCCGAGCTGGATATCAACCTCAGTAGCACTTTTTAGTTTGAGGTTAATAGTATATACTGTACTTTAATAAGAATTCATTATATTTGCAAATTGCAAACTAGTTCTATAGACTATAGAAATCAACAGATGTACCAAACGATTGATTAATCATTAAGATCAGTTAAATTAAATTATGCATAAAGGTATAAACTGAATGGAAAGATATGCAATTCAATAGTTTATAAGTAATAACAATATGAAAGGCAGTTACTGTGATATTTTTTTTTAAAAAGTAATATTTTAGTTTAGGGAGCAATTCTTACTATTAACTAGTTGTTTATTAGCATGCATAAAAATTATGCATAAAGGTATAAACTGAATGGAAAGATATGCAATTCAATAGTTTATAAGTAATAACAATATGAAAGGCAGTTACTGTGATTTTTTTTAACAAAAGTAATATTTTAGTTTAGGGAGCAATTCTTACTATTAACTAGTTGTTTATTAGCATGCATATTACATGTTGGCTGTTTGTTAGTACTTACAAAGCACATATTAATGGCTTATTCTGCATGTCCAGATTTTAGATCTCTTAGTCCTAACCCGTATCTAAACTTAACAACTACCTTACTAACTATAAGCAGTAAATCAGGAGTTCATTAAGGCAAGTCATAGTTCATAATAAGTTAATAGTGATAATTGGTCCCCAAATTAAAGTGTGACAAAAAAAATTTGTAGTGGTAGTGGAAAGTGTAGTGGAAAGGATACTTTATCATTTTGTGTAACGTACTAACAGTTAAAGCTAAGCTAAAATGCTTGAAAAAAAAATTAATTTTTGATTTGTACTAAACGTTTTGAAAATGTACTACTTACTTTAGAACATAATACCAAAGCAAAAATGCTACTACCAATTCTACTACTACTAATAATAAAATATTCAACTCCTAAAAACTCTGTTAAGGGATTTGCCATAAAAGCTCTTTTCAAAAGGAACACTCTCTGATATGAGCCAAACATTCTGTATGTGATTGTGAAAGTGTCAAAATCAAAAGCACATTTTGGCCAAAACTTAATTCCCTGTGTGCAAACTCTCTCCAATACAAATTGACACAATTGATACAACTGATAATCAACTCAAAGGCAAATTTGCCAGCATGCAAATACATTATTCTATTCTTTTTTCAGGACATGTGCAACATGTTGACCCAGTTCTTCGTGGAAAGAAATACAATTCTATTTGGCAATGGCATGCTTTGGCTTACCAAGCTAGCAGGTTACAAGACGTTTTACAGTGCATGAACAAAACTCTAAAATACTTAAATCTGCAACAATTTCTACTAACAAAATTCACACCAATTACCAGTTAATTTATGACAAAAAAAAATACAACCGGCATTGGTATGTTCAATAGCATATTAGTTTTTGCTTTGGTGTCAATAATCTACGGTGGCCGAGAAGTGCAGAACAAATCACAATTCTGAAAACAAAAGAACAAATTACAAACGCAAATGCAAGTCTAAAAAACAAAATAACAATTCAGAAAACATTATAACAAGTCAGAAAACACAACGACAAATCAGACAAACCGGAAGAGGTAGATATAGTTTGAGACAGCGCCATTGGTTTGGGATTACTCACCGCTGACTGGACGAGACATCTGTCAATCAACGTATACAGAGAAGAACCAGCCGAAGAACAGCAGAGTCGTGGTAGAAAGTTCGGAGATGATATTAAAGTAGCTCAGTTTAAATGTATTGTATGAATTGCCCTTACTCTGGAATAAAAACTACGGGGTGTGTATTTACATTTAGTAAAAAGTGGCTGTGTAACATCAGCTTCTGTGGCGCAGATGGATATGCGCATGTCACCGCCTTTTTGACGCGATCGACCCGGGTTCGATCCCGCCTTTTGCCAAGCTTTTTATTCCTCCCTTTTCAAATCTCGTATTAGCAATGGATTCTATTTACACTAAGTGAAAATAGCAGTATTTTGTTATTTTGTTTTTTAGACTTGCATTTGCATTTGTAATTTGTTATTTTGTTTTCAGAATTGTGATTTGTTCTGCACTTCTCTGCCACCGTAATAATCATTTAATTTTACTAGTAGTGTGATTGACTGCTAATATGTTGGGTGAAGTGGCAACTCTACTTCGCAACAAGCTTCCATTTGTTATCTAGAGACAGTTATTTTAGCACTCAGAAATCCATGAATGGATTGTTAATTAGTGACCAGCCCTAAAAATAAGCAGCTTCTATTGACATCCACATTCGTCAACATGCCCTCTAAGAACACAGAATTCCCCAAAATGTTTCTCCTCCAGTGTCCTCTACTTCCTGCCTTCTGCCTGGCGACACAACGGTGCCATCCAAGCGCCTGGAAGGAATGTGCACATACAGTTGTATATGCATGCATTCACACAAATACAAGCCAACAAGAAACAAAATCAAATAAAAAGACGCAACATTTTTGTTTCCAAAGGCTCCAGTGGAATGCTGCTAACACGCCATTATGTGACATTTGAGCTTTAGTTTGCATTTCCTCTACATTTTAAAGGCCTTTTAAAATCTAAAATAACCATTTCATCATAAAAGGTCAATTTAATTTCTAATATTATCAGAGAATTCTTAAAGCCAAAGTATACTTCACATATTTTAGTAATCATCATTAATTTATTTATCACATATCATCATCTCAAAATTCATCCTGTGAAAACTATTTTGAAATTGGAAATTGCGTTACCATGGAAATGGTACTTTAAAATCTTTAAGTGGGCGGTGTCAAGAGTTATATTACGGTGTATTACAATCAAAACTTTTTATAATCTTCACAAAATACATACCGTTGGAAAGGTCTGAGTCTCAAGATTCCATATTTAGTGGTTATTTTGTGACTTTGGTGAAGTAATATTGACAGAGAAATTTAGACATTTGTGACAGAAAAATGCATTCAATAAAATAAAATCCTAAATAAAATCTCACAGAAACCTCAACTTTTTTTTATATCAACTTCAAATTTGGAACATAACTTATTTAGACATAAAGCTTTAATTTTATATGAATTTGTGTGTAAAACCTGTTATGAAAAATAGTTATTTTATATATAAAAAAAATGAGTACAGTGCATTTTCTTTACAGTAAATTCAAACTTCAATAACTTTTTGATCATTTCATATTTTGAAATGATCCCACTTCTGCCATAATTTGCTGATTGTCTTCTTTAAAAAGAGTCTTCAAAAGCGTTTGAAAGCATTCATGAATTATAACAATTTAAGTTTGGATAGTGCACTTTCACTTCTATGTACAAAAATGGGGGGGTGGCAGTTAAAGGGTTAAAAGAGTACAAAGACATTTTATCGTTCATAACTTATGGAGAATTATGAGTATCGTATTGCATAGTGAAATACAGTTTCATCTCAACATATTTCTCATGCTACTCAACATGTGTGCAGTGAGACATTCCGCAGTGCAACCTGGACGTGTTTGGAACAATAACAGAAAGATGTCATGAACAGAGTCGTGGCTGCACTCCAGGAGCACACAACTCAGCTTCAGCCACGTGATGGAGTGTAACTGCTCTCTAAAGACCATTACGGCAGACACTTAGCAGTCACTGTACAAACCACTAGCTCTGTTAAACATATGCTATATGGTTGTTACGCATTCACAAACTAGATGCCAAAACCTGCATCACAAAAATCGCTGAGGGAGATATTTATATGTTGTAACATACTACACACTTTGTTTTTAGAAAATTATCTCAATTAAAAAAAATTTTTTTTTTAGGTTGCCACCTACAGGCCTATTCACAGCAAGCAGAAATTGTTACAGCAAATTTTGGTAAAAATGGAGCACAGATATTTTTTTCATCAAAAGTCTTTCTCCTAAAATGTTCTCTTGTGAAAAATAAGTACTTTAAGATACTTTTAAACAAGTGTACTTACTACAGAAATAATGTACTGTCGAATGTACTGACAAGCATTTATTGTTAACTAAAGTATACTTTAATGTCATTTATATTGACTTGTATGTCATGTGTTTAAATATATTTGTAATGACTAAGTTACTAAATTGAAAAATATATTACATTATATTATTAACATCAACTAACACATTACAGTTCAAATTAAGTACTTTACATGTGTTTGATAGATTAATCAACACATCAAAATAAGTTTGCTTTATAGCATGACAAGAGTATTAAAACATTCTTTTAAAATTTACTTCAAAGTAAAACTTTTAAAGTGCACTTTTTACACTTCAAAGTGTACATAAAAGTGTACTCTCTTTAAGTACACTTAAGTAGGCTTTTATTTCATTTATATTCAATTATATGCAAGTACAGTTTTAAGATTTTAAATACACCACAAGTGCACATTAACTACAATAAGCACACTTTTTTTTACAAATTATGTGGCACGTGTAAAAGGATCACGTTTGATTTGAGAGCAACACTGTAAATTATCAAAAAATAATGTATCAAAAAATGTTTGTCTGTTCCTCTCACAAAGCTATTGTATAAATACAGAAGGCTTGAAGTGTATGAGTCACATAGGATGCTCTATATGATACTTTTTTTAAAATTTATTTATTTTTTTATTTATTTAGTATTTATCTAT